TCTAGACCGCGGTCAATATCGATTTCAGCCAATCAAATTCGTGAATTCGGTAGTTCCCAGTCCTTGTGAGACACAGCCATATAATAACATGAAATAATACACTAGGAGACATCTTCAAATAATTACCTATTATAAAATTATTATGGATTGTAAATGAATGCGTGTGCCCTGACTTAAAAAAAAGAGATCCTCCAAGACTTCACAGCAACTTATTTTAAATTGACTTCTTGACACAACACGTCCTAAGAAAACTGTAATTTTTTTTAAAATTACAATAAATGCGAGTTTAATTTATCTTGTCTCCGGAAAAGCTAGGTCGACCTATTATAACACTGTAGTTTTATTGGGGAGTCTGGTTATAAAAAAATGTTAGCCTGAGAGTAGGCTCTCACCGTGCACTGCTGCACGAGCGGCGGTGAAGCCATTCCCTTTATTAAGGTAGCGTCAACACTAGGCCGGAGAATTTGAAAACGCAGTTTAATTTACTTCTACGGTTAGGCCTACCGTACACACGACGAAAACAGAGCTTTTCCAAAACGCTCTTCAAACCGGAAGAATTTGAAAACACCGGCTTTTGGTTTTGATGTGGGCGGAAAACATTTTGAAAACCGGGGAAGCTCAGAAAACGATGGGGTGACGAAAATCATGCGATTTCCCAGATCGTTGTCTACCAGCTAATAGAAAACGATGAGAGGACCAATCAGAATCGCGGATTTCCAGTAGTATAGAGCTGAGTGGCTACTAATTTATACATTGAAGGCAATATCTAAATCTGTCAGTTATGTCACCGCATCTTATGCATTGTAACCAGTTTTGACTTTTAATCAGCAGTAAAAGTAGACATCTTAACGCTTCCATTAGAAATATAAAAAAGTATAACCGCATGAACAAAGGATGCTTAAATTTTTTCCATATTATGTATCACTTTACCCGAGCACGCGATTACTCAATGAGATTGGCTGTTGGCAGACTTAGCTTGTGGATGTGCTCTCGCGAGCTTTTCTAATACATTATCAGATTTCAAGGCAGAAACACGGAGAGGAAAAAATACTATTTTTAAGGCTGCAATTTATCTAAGGGTTGCTGGGTTCGTTATTTAGGTTAAGAGAAATCTGGTAAAACATATTTATAAACGGCCAGGCAACACGGTTTGCTCGTTGTATCCCTGTTTCTTGGTTTTATAGGTACAGCAGTTTCCTGAGTTTAACATGACTTTTCAGTGTAGAAAAAAGCTATTAATATGCCTTCGTGCTTTGTTAAAAATAGCCTTGACTGTTATAATACCTGCCGCCTTGCGTAATGAAACGATTATTGAATATTTTCACTTTTTACAATTCTCAGTTTTATACCTGTTAGATATCATTTTGATAGAGTTCTCTCTTTTATTCTTTCAGAAGTTAGCTATGTTATTAAGAGCTGGCAGATCATGTTTGTCACAACACTGTCATATATCCTACCATTGCAGTCAAATAACTTGCACGATAACCTATTTGCCAATATGTATAACTTCCGGTTACACTTCGCATGGAGTTTGAATATTTTAATACCCTTATTTCGTCCTTTTTGCGAACAAAAATAAATAAATAACTGCTGGAAAATAAGTTTTCAAACTCGTTGTAGTTTTTCTTTTTTCTATAAATATATCGCAACACTTCATTACGAAATGCCACACTTTTTTCCCTTTAAGATTAATATAGCTTAAATGTGTGGCGATTTGTTTAAATTTTAAAGCTTTGAAAGAGGAATTATATTTACTAGTCATTTTTAATATCTTAACAGTTAATGGGCGATGTTTAGTAGGCAAATCTATCTGCTCTTCTTGTCTTCGTGCCTGCTGCGTCAGGTAGATCCAGATGAAACGATATATTTTCTTATTTGAAAAATATTCTGTGAAGCCTGCGGCAAAAGTTCATTTTCTCGCACATGAAGCCTGACCATTAACCAGTTTCTGTTGCCCGACTAGTTATGCACAAAGACGCGAGTCAAAATTATTATCATGACCATATGTTGCGCGGAATTGAAAACGTCTTCTCTTTCTCGCACTCTCTCTCTCCCTCTCTCTCTCTTTACGATGAAAATTTCTGGCAGTGGAACATGAGCAGTCTCTTGCATGGCAACTGAGAATATCGCAATGAGACAAGTATTCTGGATTTAGTAAATAATGATTTCAAAAGCTGAACTAATCCTAATCGTCATATAAATGTTGAGGTGTATTTGCGTGACTTAACGAGTGTTCATCAAGCCCATATAGTATGCACACGGTGGCGCCATATGGCTTCAAAATTTAAAAGTAGAGTTAAAAGACCTAATAACAATAACTTAACCACTGGAAAACTCCTAAAAAACTGTCTTGAATTTGCTGCACTGATGCAATCGAATGAGGGGCCAAAGCGTCGTTTGTTATAAAATAAAGACAGAAAATATGGATTTAAGTTTTAAGAAACATCTACTAGAAATTGCCTTTTCGATTTTTTAAAATTCCCTTTTTCCACGTGAGAGAATTGTAATTAATGTTTTTCAGTACTCACCGTCACGAAATGTAGAATTCACCAAAGATGAGGAAGTCAAAGACATCAAAATAAAACGTAGAATCATGGTCCAAACTTCAGAAGCGAGTAGCTTGTTCTATTCTGGAGCTGACGGAAAACTTGAGCTTGCAATACACTAGTATTTGAAAACCATCTGCTGCAAGGAGGACAGGAACGGCAGTTTATGCTCCATCGTAATATACTTATGAACAATGGGAGTAAACACAATGACATTTCAGCCTGCAGGTTTTGTCATTCCCCGGAATAAACTAAAGTTAATGTCCACCTGCTTATAAATTAATTTTCGATGCTTTCCAGAAATAATTTGTTTCGCAACCATTTTCATGCAGGTTTTCCCTGGACTTGTTTATATACAGGTTGGGTCAAATTTGTAGCAACTGACAGGACTGTCTGCATAATTAAAAAAACTTTTTGATTAGGGCGCTGATAAAAAAAACTCAGAAAATAGCTTTTTGAATATATTATTCATATGACAGTTCAACAACCATTTGAATTCTATTTCACACAAAAGTTTGAACATGTTTTGTGTTTAAATGCAGCCGTCACTTGCTGCGAAGTTTCGTTGACTAAGTTCAGGGTTACCCCACACATTGAGTGATATCGATATTAGCGAAGTTATACCGCTAAACTAGTGTTACCTAAGCTGTCAGATCTCCGCAGTTCGTATTTCCCATAATACATTTCGGTTTAAATTAAACATGTCTATAAGAGCTGGGGGTCCGTTTCTCGGAAGCCCCGGAAACTTTTCGGGCCTGTAAAGCCATAGCAAAATCTCGAACCTTACGATTAGAGAGCTGTTTTATTCACATATTCTTAATATGAAGAGAAGTTCCCTTCATACAAGAAGTTTTAAGCGTATACACTTCTCCGTTTTTAGATGCAGATGGACTAAAAATGGCTTTACGGGTCCGAAAAGTTTCCGGGGTTTTATAATTCAGTAGAAAATGTCGATTTATGCATGCAGTATTCTGACTGGTTTTTGCTAAGCTTCCAGAATTTAAATACTTAGCAATAGGACTGAAACTGCACACAAACCCGATTTTCGTTACTGAAAATTGTTTTCTATTGGATGAAGGCTTTTAACATTCTTCTAGGCGTCAAAAAACTTGTGTTAAAGGAAATCCACATATTGTAACAAAAAATACAGATTGATAATGCAAGTATGAATGTGCTGAACATATTTGCGATTTGTTTTCCCAAGAATATCTCTAATTTACTAAAAATGTTGAGAAGGAGTCGATTTTCAATTTATAAATGTACATAGCAAACCGGCTTCCCATGTGCGGTTGCTGTAATGCTCGAGATTTCTCTTCCTTTAATTCCTAGAAATTTACGATTGTATTTGTCCGTATTCTCTTCAGGTTTCGTTTCGATTTAGAAGATATATCAAACACCCAAGACATTTTGACCATATTTCTAAACACCTCAAAATTTGTCACAAATACTTCGCTGCGCGTCGTATTTTCAACGCGGGGCGGGGGGCGCGGGGGGGGGGGGGAAGGAGGAAACTCCCATATAAAAAGGACGGGTTAGGCTAAGAAATCCCTATGAGGTACCAAGGCCCTGTTTTGTGGGCGTGGCTTGAATTTGTTTCACCCCTGAGAGGTACCAATTCAAAATCAACACATTAATTGACACCGACTTTTTTCGCCTCAACGCCCAAAAGGGTACCGCGGAAGCTCCTGCTGTGGGACTCTTTGAGCCCGAACACCCTAAGAGGTACCGAAACCGCTGTCTTAACCCCTGAAAGGTACGACGAGTACCCCTGTTCTTTTTTATATCGGAGCCCCCCCCTCCTCCCCCCCGCCCCCGGATTTTCAACTCTGTTGGCGTATAGTAAAGCATGGTCTCTCGTGCATTATAAGCTAATCTTAATTAAGCCAGCAAAAAATGAAGAGTGTTAAGTACACTCAAAATATCTAAGGAGTCCGTGATTAAGACAATGGGTACAACGTTTCAGTCGTTGCTGAATATTTTATTGACCTCTGCGTGAAAAGACCGATTTAACCATTTACTGACTAGCTGAGCCGGAAAATGAGACGGAAAAATTTTCCAAAAATTTCCTTAAAATTCCATGGGTAAAATTCTATCACTAGAAACACCTCTTATGTAAACCTTGTACCTTATGACTGGTTTACTTCTCAACATTGACTGAACCTTAAAACGCCATCTTAATACATATGTATATAAATTAAACAACTATGTTGCTTAATCTTGAGGCAAAAATGAAAGAGATGTTGATATGGTAGTTCAAACTCTTAGTCGAATGTACTTCAAAATGTTAAAGAATTTATACCAGAGCCTCATTGTACCCAAAAAATTACATGAAAAGTACAATTTTAAATTGTAAATTTAGCAATAATGAATTCCCTTCAGGCCATTTTCCGTAAATCATTTTACTTCGCTTCAACCAAATAACATCTGTTTAACTCTATCATCTGTTAGCTCACTCCAATCAATCTGCAAAACAAAAGCAATACACATTTGAACTGCAATTTACATTTAAGAACATATCTAATCGATTAGCCGAACATAACTGCTATATTTCATACAAATGCATTAAATTTTTTTAAGAGGAGCACTTGTCAACGAGTTATCTTGCGTTTGAGGAAAGATAACTAAAGTTCGACCATACATACAAGTTAAGGGTCAGGCCAATACTTCTCAGACATAAATATACACAACGCACGTACCCTGACAATATTTCCATATCGGTTCGTTGTCAAAGTCATACTTCATAGAGCACCATGCTAAGCGCCTAGCAAAGTCTCCACGAGGCCTGGGAGTTGTTAGACAAGACGTCTGAAGTTCTCCGTTCAAAATGAACGGGAAATAACAACAGTGATTGCCGCCTTGAATCCTCACACTACAATCTAGAAAACAAATATGAAACAACCAATTACTTCACGCTAAAATTAATGAAATGTGAAGTTTGCAATTGAACCCAGATACGAATCAAGAGAGCATTATACCCGGGGGCTGGGTACTCCCAGAAAAGTTGGGTGGGATGTGCGGCCCACTTCCCAAAACCCTTACCCTATTATGACCAAAATCTACGATTTTTGCTACCCTATTTATGACCTCGCCAAAAATTGGATACCCTATCTATGACCGTTGCGGCTGGCACAGTTGCCCTAAACATAAGTTATGAAGGGCTTTTGTTGACCGTCTTATTGATAATGATGAAAAAGTAGCTTCTTCCAAGAAACATACCCAATTCAAGGCTAGAGTGCTAAAACCATACCCTATTTAAGACCAGAATGGCCAAACTTGATACCCTGTTCATGTCCAAAACGGCTGAAAAACGCTACCCTTTGAGGCCGCACATACCTATATAGCCCATATAAGGGAGTACCTCCCCCCGGGACATTATATCCCTGGTAGGAGCCAGTATGGCAGAATAACACCACAGCTGAGTGATAAACATGCTTGCAATTTAGTGAACAACATATCCAATTGGGAGTATATTCGAAAAAAAAGTAAACCAAATAAATAAGCACGAAATAAACCGACGTTTGGGCTTACATCAATCAACCCCCTTTTTTTAAGTTCTTTTTTTTTTTTGCAGGGCCTTATTGATGTCAGCTTTTTTAGCTGAAGAGGTCACCCTGGTTAAAAAAAAAAAAAAACCATTTATTTATTTATTACTAATTAAAAATCTTACCTTTACAGTATCCCCACTGTTGGTCCTTGTCAAAATCATAAGTCAACGAGCACCAGGCCCTGTTGCCCTCCGCTGTCATTGCGCACACGTTAAACTCTTTACCTTGGTAGAGGTAAGGAAAATGACAACACTCATTGTCTTCCGTCTTTTCACATTCTGAAAAAGGACAAACATCAAGAAAATATGTGTGAAAATGGGTTCGGTGTGTTTCTGTCTACAAAAACACCAGACGTTCCCTACTAACGCGATAGACTTGAGAAACTATACAGGCAAACCACCAAATACAAATACCTTTGATGTCTTACCCTTTTCGCAGTTATCTCCGCCATAAACGCCTGGACATTCACACTTGTAGTTTCCGTTCCCAATATCCTCACAAGTTCCATCATTTTGGCAAGGATTTGAATCACATGCGTTAGATGACGAGCTCGATTCTACAAAAAACAAGCATTTCTTCTGTTATTATATCACCCCCAATACGCATATAAAAAGCCATGTCAACTTTAGTTTCTGTAGTGCCGGAAGTAAATCAATCGGCCAAGTCACTTTTAAGGAGGCTAGCATAACACCATCCCAACTTTAAATGGCTGTTCAGTGTTCACCGTCTGAGTTGGACGGGAGAAACTGCTTCACACACTTTTTAGATGGAGATTACTTCAGGCATTTACAGTGGAACCCCACCTCACGACCTCGTTATTACGGCCACTTTATTCTGGCCCGAAAAAAAGCTCAGTCAGTTGTTTTCTTATTTAAAGAAGCCCTTTAGTACGTCCACCTCGTTAATTCGACCAATTTTCCATGGTCCGAAGGTGGTCATATTAACGTGGTTCCACTGTACTGCGGATTGATTCAAAATGGGAGTGATTTAGCAGGGAGTGACTCTTTTATCTCTTGTTTAGCTACTGGTGTTCTCAAAAACTACAAATTGGGCTATCATCATGCTCAAAGAGCCCTTGCAACACAAGATATCTGCTCTTAATTAGCGGTTTGATATTTCTTCTCAATCACAACTAAAATGTCAAAGATTACTCCGTTCTGCGTCATATTCCGCTTATGATAAAACACAGTTTGTTTTAGTCCTAAATATGGAGCTACTGTATAAGATAATCAACACCAAAACGTCGACTTATTAGTCTGTTCGTAATATCATCTCTGTCTGGTTCAGGTATAAACAATTTACATAAGTTATAGCAAGAGGCAATAAAAGTATAATCTTCCATTGATAAAGTTACCTACTTTCGCAGCCATAAAGCTCCATTCTCATTGAAATATGACCTTTCCAGCTGAGTGGCACAAGTCGGATGTATCGTGCTGTGATTGGCTGGCTTAGCTCGTGTTTCACTACGGTGTTTTGGTCGCTGTTTCCTGTTAAGATCTGATTATTTGTTCGAAAAATATACGTTTGGTAATTTGTTTCAGAAGAGTCAGTGCATATTAGAGTAAACTTAACCGACATATTAAGCGTTTGCTTTCACATACATTGTTTTATGCCGCACTATACTAGAGCTACCGGGGTAGGAGGGTAGGGAGAACTCCCGTTGTCTCCCTTATAGGATGTAAATCATGGATTGTTATCTTACTTATGATGTCCAGGACGAAACACCACATATCTTTTAGGGTTCAAAAAAGCTTGAACGACGCCCAGATTGCTCCCTTTCAAGGATTTTATTGAATTTTTTTGAGGAGCATCCCTGACCTTTCAACATGGGAGTCAGTCCTGGGACTAAACTGTACGCGGCTCCAAGCCTCACACATCTTTTCTAGTAGTTCTCGTTGTGAGAATTTGCGATGCTGCGTTTGTGAGGTGTTGTGTGTAGAAACGAATACACAAAGACAGGTTGTATTCATTTGATGGAAATGCATGATCCTGAATTTGGGACTTAATGTCAAGTTCCATTTTTATGATTGCAACTGTGGCTTCCAGACGTAGAATTTTTTTTTTCATGAGTTCTGCAACTTTCGAAAGATGTGTTCCGTACGACTGAGAAGCCCATCTGGCAATTGCTGGTTTTCAGTGTCACGCAATTCAAAATAGACCAAAATCAAAATCAAAAGAGGTCAATAGATAAAGTCCAAAATCTGGGAAAAAGGTAAATATGCAAAGACTCTCGCCAAAATTCTGGTCACACCAATTTTTCTTATGCGAGATATGCGGAGAAATTTTTTACCCAAATTTATAGAGATTTGTATGGACACGCCATGCTGGTGCCCATCCGTATGGGCACCAA